GGACCCCTCCGATCTGAAATTATAGGACGATGGCATTAGTGGAACGACGTATCGGAAGCATGCAAATATTGCATTCTGGCGCTTTTCTTTTTGCCCAACCCAAACACTCAACTAAAATCCACACAAATTACCTTCCCATACCATATATTAAATTTTCTTTTTTAATTTGAAAAATTATGCAGTTGAACTATTTTGATTCATGTATTTTAAATTTTTTATTCACATTTTAGTTACTGTGATTTTAAAAGATTTATTTTAATTACCGTATTTTTTTTCCCTTGATATTTGTAAGTGTTTGGATAAGGTTATACACACCTCAACTAATCTCACGGATAGTAGGTGATCATTTAATGTCACAAAACACATATGAGTTAATTAATAAAGTAGGTGATCATAATAGGATTTGAACTTATTCCGTCTCAATTCACCCTACCCTTTCGGACCGACCAATGAAAATTACTGTACCTTTAAAAAATGACAGTTTAATTCTTATTTAAAAAATTTTATACTCTTTAGAAACCTTTTAATGTAAATGTATGGTTATATTAAAAAAAACGTGGGAAGTGTGAGGCTTAAATTCAAATTGAAAGAGAAATGAGATAAAAATGAAATTGAAAGAACTAAAGTAATCACTTTTTAAAAGTACATCAACAAAATGGATGTCTCAAAAATACATTGATTAAAATAAACAAAAAGTTTAAATCACAGAGATTAAAATAGAATTCTTAAAAATACAGACACAAAAATGAACCATAATCATGAAAATTTTGAAAGTACAAGAATTAGAATGAACTAAAGTCGATATCAATGTTCATGGAGTTTCATCTCGAAATTATATATATTTAATATAGGATTCTCGATCGTKAAAAATAAATGAATTAAAATAGTATTTAAACTTAATTTAGATTTGGAATAAAGAAGAAGAAAGGGGAAAATTGAGAGGTAAAAAATAATAATGGGAAAGGGAAAGTGGGAAAGAGAGAGGGGGGCCGAGTGAGGGGAGAAACAAAAGCACATGGGTGTAGCTCCGGCATTCGCGTTGGGTTGGTAGAATCCTAATTATATTATATTCTTAACTTCTTCACTTCTCCTTCTCTTCTACTCTTTTTTTTTTACCTGACCTCCCTCTGCAACCCTCTCTATGACCTTCCTTCAACCGCCCCCCACTCTCTCTGACCCATCACACACACATTTCCAACGCCCTTTCTTTCGCTACGTGATCGGTTGAGTAAAACAAAAAGCAAAGTCATGAATATACATCGAAAAGATATAGAGAGAAATCTACTATTCTAACTACGAGATGTTAAGAATCTCGTGTCGAAAAGATCAAGTAGCACTCGATAAAAAATTTGTAATTGCACGAGCTATACTCCAAGTATACATCATCAAGGGACTTAAGAGGTTTAAATAGACATAGGGTTTCATATCAATGTATATTTAAATTAAAAGAAAAGAAATGGATTCAATTTTCTGTCAATAAGATCTTGAGACGGAACTGTTAAGGACAATGATACTCTCGTACCCCGAATATCTCTACAATGATATGATATTGTTCGTTTTAGCTAGACATAACCTTCACGATTTTGCTTTTGATTTTACAAAAAATATCTTATACCAATGGGATTTTGTTTGCACGCTTCGTAACCCCAACAGGAACTCTATTAATATTTAGAAATTGTAAGATTAATAAGTAAAATAAACAATATCTCTAATTAATGATACGTGACGTTTTAGATTAGTTATAACATCTTTATTGGTGTTAGTAGTTCCGAGTAAAACCCGAAAGATAAAATTGTGCGGAAGGGATAGTATAGTATATTTTATAAAATGACGTATTTTTACCATGTAGCTATTTACAAGTTGGTTGGTTGGTTGTTTTTTATTTTGTGAACTAGGTTTCAGGTACGACTAAGTTATGGGGATTGAATTTTTTAAGGCATATTTTTTTCATCAAACCCATGGCAATGGTTAAAAAAAGAAATTAAAATTACCCTAGAGAGAGAGGGAGAGAGGTAATAATTAATAATGGGTTTTGAGTTGAAATTGGGGAGGGAGTGGTAAAAACCATGGGGGCATGAGTGGTGTGTACAGTATTGAGAGACAGAAGAAGAAGTTGGTACAAATTTGGATTAGCCAATTGATTGAATGATTCAATATTATTGGGTCCCTCAGTAAATAGTTCTTCTGATGTGAAAACTTTGCTAAATAGACCTTACCAAAACTTGGCTCTAATGAAAATCAATCCTTTTCACTACCTACATCACTCCACCTCCTCTATCATATATTTCTTTTTATTCATTTGTGTGACATATTTCCTCAACCGACCTCCTCTCCTTTTCGGTTATTTATTAGGGTCGAGTGCTCCATGTTCTTTCTCGTTTGATCGTTTTCTTTTCGTGAAAATTCTAGAGGATTTGTGTGTTTTTTGAAAATTAAGACATAGGGGTTCCACTATCGAAACTTTAAGCACATTAAATGACTGTATATGGGTTATAGATTTCCTATTAGTCGTTGATCCGTCCTTTAATTTTCATCTTTTTAAAGTAATGGGTGGAGATTTTGGACTTTCAGAAAAAAATAACAATATACTTTAATTGCATTAATGATAACGAGGTGGCTTGACTTTGAGCAAGTCTCTCAAAGTCAAAATATTTATATAATGTTGAAGAAATAAAATGAACCGATGTTATATTCAAATTTGTTATTAGATTGATGGTTTTTTTTTAATCATAAAGTTGTTAATTTTTAGATCTTTTTATTAACCATACTGTTTGATGGACGAGGAAAACACCCATATGTTTCAAAAGATAAATGAAAACCGAATGTTTTGTACTAATAATTTTCTTTCCATGTATCATTGAGAAATTTTGAAATTTCAAATCCCATGGAATTAATTGAAAAATGAGTGGTGGAGTCGGGATGAATAATTAGAGTATATAATCAATTGATTAATTAGTAAACCTTTTAAATATTTGTATTATTTTAGTAGAATTTTTGTCCAATAAATCATAATCCTAAAGTTTAGGTGTTTTCATATAAAATAGGTAAAGGGAAGAAAATGACATTTCAAAAGATAAATGCATTTATATGGCCAAACCTTAGGGAGGGAGTCGAATTCAAATCATTATGCAAAAGGCAAAAAGAAAAGAAAAATAGGTAAAGAAATGAATGTAGATTTAGTATAATGAAACGTAATTATATATTAAAATGATGGTCTAAATAGATAATTTATTATTTTAATTCAGCAAGCGATAGATTTAAAAAGAAAAAAGAAAACAAGAGTAGAGATTCGAACCTATAAATTTATTTTTTTGTTGATGATATATACCTTATTCAGTTGAACTAGATTTAGATTGCTCTAAATATATATGTAATTATATATTTTTTTAAATAAATAATTATAAATTAGTAAAAAGTAGAATGTTTGTCAATCAAATGGAAAATATTATTTTCTTCATGATATTGATAACTACTATTAGTGGTAAATACTAATGACCTATAATTTAGTGACAAGTTTTAAAAATAAACAATTTTTTTATCATTATATATATATATATATATATATATTGTGTGGTGCATTATATCTCGTTGTGGGATAATTTTTTAACCCAAAAACACCTAAACTAATTATAAATTAAGGGGTTTGTTCATATTTAATTTAGACTTAGTAAAATAAATGAAATTGTATTATTTGAAAAAAAAATCACGGCTGATAGCCAAATAAAAATAGAACATTCTTAATTAAGACGAAATATGACTATAAAAAAAAATCTAGATTTGTAATAACCTTATAAGATTTGAACATTTCACTAGTTATAATTGAAAGGATACTAGTAAATATTTTTTTATTTAATTATGAGTACGAATAAATAGATAAAATACATTAAAATATTTTAAATATGAACATTACAACTCCATTTACAGTCTTGGAGCTGTCATTGGAAAATCATTAACATTTTTTTTTTTTTTGCAAAATCATTAACGTATTTTATTATTGGAAAATATGGCACTTTTTTCAGGGAATCGAGACAAAACAAAAGGAAAAATAACAAATAGAGAAAAGGTCTTATTGGAAAAGGCAAGGCACATGTATAAAAGGCTATATTTGCAAAACTCAAGCTTTAGTGGGGCCCAATAAGAAGGGCACTAATGCGGCCCAGTAGAAGTTCGAGGCCCATCTTAGATATTTGCATTTTACATTAAAATAAATAAGATAAAAAAGATTATATTTATTGAAAAATATAATATGCAGGGATCAACCATTAGATTATTATCCCCAATTAATGATAGCCAGCGATAATTGGTATATATTTTCTTGGTTGTGAGTTCGATCTCCCACCTACCAAAAAGTCACGAATTGGAATCTTCCACCACCATTTGTTATATTAAGAAAAATCTCTCATCTTTTTAAAAGAAAAAAAAGGATAGATTCAATCTCCAAATCCACATTAGTTGAACTAAAAAATGTTAATTATTGATGATTTAAATGAGAAAAATGATAGATTCAATCTCCAAATCCACACAATAATTGAACTAAAAAATGTTAATTATTGTATGATATAAATCAATAATTATCTAGTAATGAAGATGAATGAATTAAAAAAAAATATATATATATATATATGTATATATATATTTAGTATTACCCTCCAATTTGTAACTCTTTGTAGGAGAAATAATATATCTTTAAAAATGTATTAAAAACGTACCACTGATTTTTTATTATTTATTTATTTATCGTTTCAATCCAACCATTTCCGAATTTCCAATTTCAAAACCACAATTGGTATTAGAAACTATATGAACATCGCCCTTAAAATTTATAATTTAAATTAATTAAAATTCCAAGTTAATGACAATTCTTAAAAACAACAATTACCAGGTTAATTTTGATATATATATATATATATATATTTATTTATTTATGTTTTTTCTTTCTTTTGCAGATTAATTTTGAAATATTTCTACTTGGAAGGACACTAGGACAGATTTTTTTTTTCTTTTTTTGAGAATAGACACTAGGACAGAATTGAAATCCAATAACTTTAATTAAATGTTCATCAAAATTTCTAAATGGAGGACATATTGGGAAAGTTGACTTCAATACCAAGAAGTTATATCCTATGTCCAAATTTTCAATTTTACCCTTCTCTTTCACCTACCTCTTTTCTCCTATAAAGAGGAACCAATTTCTAATACTCTAGAAGAAAGAGAAAAGATGAGTGAGGGTGAAAAAGCAAGAAAGTAAAAATGTATTTTTTTAAGATCAACTGTATGGTTAGTAATATAATGTACAAATCTGTAATAATATATATTATTTTATCTCCGTATTTCATTATCCTATATATTGTTTAGTAGAATATATGGGGATGGAAGATTCGAACTCAAGATCTAGTAGATTGACTTATTATCTTATATCTTATTTTTATATCCCACGTGTTATTTTTAATATAATATGTAGGGGCGAATGATTGAAAGGAGTATGCTCACTTTGACTTCATATCTCACATTTATCGTATTAAATTAAAAAAAAATAATAAGTGAATTATCTTATCCCTCAAATTAACAGACATTATGTTATGTTATAAAAAATACACATATGTTTATGTAAAATTATATAAATGCTAAATCTATAATACGTCTAAGGAATTTGAAAAGTATTATCTGATCGGACCGACCAAATAATCTGGGTGGATAATCGTTTTGGTATTCATCTGATTAGAATTCAAGAAGAGAATGGGCGGACCAGAAATTTCTACAATTTCGTGGTAGCAATTCGAATCGTGATCAAATTCGGTAGCCTAAATTAAAATCCCTTTTGCGAAACGAAAATCCTCTCTTAAGTCGACTCCGAGTTCAATAAACCTCGCCAAATCTCTTTTGATTATTTGGGATTTTCGATTGAGGTTGAGAATCGAGAGATTGAGCGATTGAGAGATTGTACTGTGACTGTGAGTGTAAGAATATGACGGAAAAGAATTCGTATTCGAGTGGATCGGCCACTGCGCAGGACGCGAAGAACGACGAAACCGAGTGGGAGATGAGGCCAGGCGGCATGCTCGTCCAGAAGCGAGAAGTTGACAATGGCGCCGATGTTTCTTCCAGTGGCCCCATGATCTCCGTCAGTGTTACTCACGGCCATGGCCCTGCTAAGTACAAGATTTTACTCCCTGCCCAATCGACTTTCGGTACCGCTCTCTTTCTCTCTCTGCGAATTGAATTGGATTGATTCGGCCTTGTGGATCTGCTTTGTTGTATCGAAGTTTTAGGGTTTTACTTTACATGTTGAAAATTGATTGAATCAATTGAAAGCAACTGGTTCGTCTTTTTTCCTGTTGTGGGTGGAAGATAAGATGTGTCATCGTCTGATTTGTCTTGGATTTTAGCGTTTTTGTGAGTTCTTGGATGGGTCTCTTTTGAGTTTGATTTAACTGATGAGTTTCTGAGTTGGGATATGGCTTTTGGAACTTTAATGTACGTGAAAACTGACTGCCATATTGTCTTATTTCATTTGTTTGGAATTGGTATTGGAAACTAACTTGTTTGGCATTGTTGTTTTGTTCTGTTTCTGTGGATTGATGGGAACTACCATTCATGGTATCTGGTATATGCTGACCTATGTACTTATTGGTGAAGTTTGAAACTAGTTTCCATGTTGGTGATTTTGTATGTGCTTCTTTCTGTTGCAGGCGATATGAAGAAACACCTTGTGGCGAAGACCGGGTTACAGCCTGAAGAGCAGAGACTCCTGTTTCGAGGAAAGGAGAAAGATGATGATGAGCACTTGCATACTGCGGGCGTGAAGGATATGTCGAAGATTTTGCTTTTGGAGAACCACACAAGCAAACAGAGGAATGTGGAAGATGTACAGAGGAAGGTGGAAGATTTACAGAGGAAAGTGGATGATGTTAAGATGAGTGGTGAGGTTTCAAAGGCATTGGAAGCCATTGCTGAGGTTCGATCTGAAGTTGATAAGCTTTCAGATAGGGTAAGTCGCACACACGGTTTGTGAAAACAATTTTGGTTTATCATCTTTCGTGTGGTTGTTCATTTTTTTCTTTTTAATCTTTGTAGGTTGCTGCCTTGGAAGTAGCTGTTAATGGTGGTACAACTGTTGTAGACAAGGAATTTGTAGTATCAACAGAGCTGCTGATGAGACAACTGTTGAAATTGGATAGTATTGATGCTGAAGGAGAAGCAAAGTTGCAGAGAAAGGCTGAGGCACGCTCTTTTTCGTTCCATTCTATACTATTAGTATGTGATTAGCTGTAATTGCCCGCATCCATCCAATATCAAATAATCTTACATTGGGGGGCTAAATAAATCAATTCTAAGAGGGACTTAACACCATCATGGAGCTATTTGTCGGCAACCGGCCAATTTTCATTACATTTGCGTACAACTTTCCTAGACAGAGGGATAAGGGGAGAAGATAGACGAGAATAAAGTTCTTATTTTCGCAATTTAACTTACTGGGTTAAGTGTGATATCATTTTCAGCTTTCAAGGACGTTTTTATTTGTTATTCTTCATTAAAGGCTGTGTTGATTGGAATACTTAGATTCAACAAGACTTTTTACATTATATTTTAGTGTTGCTGTCCAGTACCCAACCTAGAGGTAAATTTCTACTGACAAATTGGCAACTTGGAGACTCCTGAACTTCTACATATAATGAAAATCTTGCTTCTTGATCATTGCTGTTGGTAAAATGCATGGTCGTTTTGTCTAATCGAACAGTGCTATTTTGCATCTATGATTAAAACTTCATTCAGTTAGGTCAGATTCTATTAAAGGCACATTTCTTTTTCCTTGCAGTCTGTTTTAGTGTAATTTCAAACATGTGCCAATGTTGCCATCTTATAACTCTAAAATTTTATCAATTCATATGCATATAAAGAAGCTCAACTCTTTTAAAGTCAACACTAAAGAGTGGTCTTGAACAGGTACGCCGTGTCCAAAACTTCGTCGACACACTGGATGCTCTGAAGGCACGAAACTCCAACCCAATCAGCAACAATCACAACAACACGGTTTCAGTGACAACCGAATGGGAAACCTTCGACTCGGGAGTCAGTAGCTTGACTCCACCCTCCCCAGCTCCATCTTCTACAACAGTAACCCAGGATTGGGAACGGTTCGACTAGCTCAAAAACACATGTACGAGTTCCATTCACTCTAGTCTATTAGTATTACAACCCGACGCAACCCCAACCCCATTTTACTCTAGTCTATTTGTATTAATCGCCCGATCACGTTGTGAGCAGTGTAGCCATGGCAAAAGCTATCCTTTCATAGAAATTAAGTTGCAGTGTTAAGGTTGTATTCAATGAAAAACAGGTTGTGAGCAGAAGAAAGAAGTGACCGGAATCACATTCTGGATTTTTGAACAACTTTTTGTCTCTCTTAAAACCTTGCTTTGCTTTGCTTCTCTCTCTCTTTTGCAGGCAAAGAGACCAAAGCCTCGGCCCTGTTGTCACTGTCATGACATGTCCTGTTTCTTGTTTCCATTATTATAAATTCGTTATGAATGCCTTCTGAGCCAGCGGGGTCCTTCCTTACAGTTGCCTCGTCCCATCATCAGACACAACTCATCCACTGGGTCTAAGTCAGAAGTCGAATGTTAAATGATGTTTTGTTTATAACCAAAAACCCACAATAAATTCCATAACCGCTGGACCCTTTACTCTCACAGGGCCCATTTTTCTTGCACAGTTTTATGATCAGCATTTAGTACTGTACCCCCTCTTCTGCTTCTGCTCCCTAACAGGTCTTGCCATTATTCTTGAATCTTGATCAGATCCCACCTCCTTCGGAGCTGCATATGTATTTTTATGGTACGCAATTTTACTGTCTCATCTGCTTCTTTTATTGTTTCACTCTTCTTAATTCTCCCACTTAATAATAAGTTGATTTGTTTTCTCTTGTCAGCAGGAAATGAAAGTCGCTCATAAATTATGTATGTTGTGATCGCATGCTTAAACGGTTGGATTTTGCAACCTCTTGTAGTGTAGCGGAATCCATGGAAATCCTAATTGGTAATGATCGAAAAATAGTCACAAATTGACAATTCTTTTGTTCACAACTTAAGCGTAGGGCGTAAAATTTTTCTTTAGTTTCTGTTTTGCAGGTTGGAGTGGTTTCTTTCTCTTGAGTTTGAGGGTAGTTGTAATCAAACAATTTGGACGATGATTGTTCAAATTAAAAGTTTGAGGGTGTGATTGTAATCCAACTTGATAGTTCACTTTGAGTACTGTGATGAGAGTGTATTTTATTTAACCTCCATTGAAGAATATTCAATTTATGAAATGATAAAATTTATTTACTATGGGACAATAGTAATTTTGTCTATATTAAAACTCACATCTTAAAATGATGAATTCATGAATTTATGTTTTGAAAAGATTATTTTTAGTAAACTACTTGTTTGATGAAAATAAACTTTTATTTGTATTTCTCTCTGGGTTTCGACGTTATTGTGATTTTCTTATAATATTAAAAAAAGTAAAAGGAAAAAAAGATAATAAATTTATTAAAAAAAAGTTTCCATCAGAGAGAAATGCTATACATATACTTTCGCCCTAGCTGTTTGGATTTTCTTTTCAATTTAGCCCATAATCTTTTGTTCATTTTTTTATTTAGTCAAATTCTTATTGTCCACAAAATATTAAAATTAACAAACAAAATAATAACGAAAGCTCATAATAGATTTTATTAATTGAGTTGAAAATACTTTATGTTCTAATTTGATGGAATAGATATGCTGCTCCCCTCTCAAATAAAATAAAAGATCGACTCATTTCATATGACTTAGCACACAAAGTAACTTATTTGTTAATATAGAGAAGAATACTAATAATAGACAATCTCACGAAAATTATTATTTTCATATTCATATATCATGATTTTTAAAAAACATTTAGTGCTTGTAAATTAATTAAAAAAAATTAATACATGAATGATGAAATTTAAAGGTACCCAAATATATATTTAGTTTGCTCGTGACTTTATCACCACATTAGAAAAATTGCTTTCTTTTTCTAATTTTCGAATATATTGTTAAAAGTGCAATATTTTAGTAAAGAGTTGATAAAAATTACAATACCAAAATAAAAATACACTAAGACATCAGATGCCCGTCTAGCTCAGTTGGTAGAGCGCAAGGCTCTTAACCTTGTGGTCGTGGGTTCGAACCCCACGGTGGGCGAATTTTTTAATTTTAGATACTTTTTTTTGATATATACACTCTTTTTTTAATCTTTGTATAAATTAACATTTTTTTAAGAATTTTTAAATTTTCGACACTTTCTTTTTTCCTTTCACAGTCGCAGGTACAGATTTTTAAAAAAATAACTTTGTGGGATATTTTAGATAATATTTTTTGCAAAGGATATTTTGAATTTGACAATGATGACTAGCTTGTATGGTGTTTAGATGATCTAGGTATATATATTATAATCTTTGTATAAAAGAAAATATATGAGTCGATTTCGCGATGTTCTAGTTTCTTGTAATATTTTTAACGTTTTTTTTNGTTCCCAAAACTATAATTTCAATAGAAATTTTAGCGTGTTTCTTGTTTATTTTTTTAGTTTTTTCCAAAACATAAATAAATAATAAAATTAAAAAGTAATAATAACCTAAAAAATTTAAATATTAATAAAAAATAATCTTCATATAAAATTATTACTTTCTAATTTAAAATTTAACGGTTAATAGGATTATGTTTTTCTTTTTTATATTAAAAAAAAAGGAAATAAGAAACGGTTAAATCACCTATGAAGCTAAAAGTTAAAAGTCATGAGTGAGAGTAAATGTAATCTTTTATAAGATATTGCCATGCCTATATTTTTAACTTGATTCAATCTAAAGTCTACCAAAAATAAAATGGTCACGGAAAAGAATAGCATCATTATAACATGCTCCCATTACATTTACACTTTTCCTACCAAAGAAATAAAGTTTAGAAAATTGGTAACATTATACCTTAAAAGGAAAATAGGATAAAATTTTATTTCGAGAACCCCATTTAAGATTCATAGTAATTCTTTGATTTTTTAAATTTAATTTTTTATACATAAAATATTAATTAAATATTTATATTTATAACTACATATGCTATCAACCGGCCTAGTTTGTAGCCCATTCAATAATATAATATATAAAATGAACGATTAGATGTTGGTTAGTCAACATTTTTTTTCTTGCTATCCATCATTAAAATTTTAATGAGAGGTAAATTTTTAATATTTTAAAAGGAAATATGAAGAGCTATCAAATTTTTAGTGGTAATATATAGACGTTGGACCTGTATTCATACCTAATTAATTATTAAAATCTCAAATTGTTCATGGAATTACTTTTTGTCAAATAGAATCAACTAAATATTCTTTTATGCTAGCACTCATTCAAAGATTTTTTTTTTTTTTTTACATATTTCATTATAAATAACCATATTATGAACTTTTCTTATTAGAAAGGAGTATTTTTGTCAAATATATTTACGATAATTTCTTGATCAAAAGGAATGGTTTACAAAAACTCTATAGTTATTTAAGGCTCATTCAATTTAGAAATTCTAGTTAATTAAAATATTTCACCAAGAACTCAAATATTTTTCCTCCCTACTTTACCCCTAGCTAAAAAAAACAATAATAAGACCTTAAGCACATGAAGCCTAAAAGAGTCATATAATAATATACATTCCTTTTTCTTTTCCTACATAAATATAATATACATTAAATTTCAGATATGGCAGTGATTAATTTAATTACGAATAATATAGCTCTTCATGCATTCTAGAGACACACACATTGAATAGTTTAATCAATTCATGATTTAACAAAAAAAAAAAAAACTTTAATTACATAAGTTTATCTAATTCATGTGTTTAGTTAATTTTAATCTTTTGTCTCAACCACAACAGGTTGGTATGCGCATGTATTGAGATGAGAGAATCTCAAGATCCTTATATATTTTAGTTTTTCTAAAAATAAGTTCTTTTGTAATTTATCAATATTTTTTTGTTTTACACCTATTTTCTAAAAACATTTTAAAAAAAATCTAGTCAAAGTTTGTAGACTCAAAAATAGTGACTTTCAAATTTTCATTTCTTTTTTTGAAATTTTGACTAAAATTTTAAAATTGGCTCTTAAATGGTAGGAAAAAAAATATGGAAATTAGTACTAGCTAGGTAAGCTAAAATACAACCATAATTTTTAAAATTACGGTTTTTCTTTACAATTTCAAAAGCAATACCAAAAAGTAATTAAAAACAATAAATAATTAGTAAAATACTTTTACTTTTTCAAAATAGAAAACCGAATTGAAGGAAATGTAAAAAAGTGATTTTTTTCCCTCATAATTCAACCATGAGCTGAAGCATCACTGGATCATAAAGCACAGAGAAGAATAATTCTTCTCCAAATCATTTTTTAAGAATTACGATTGAATATAACATGTAAAATTTATGTGTGATATTTTTTATTATGCATTTTAAAATGCCATTCATACAGACATAATTACATTGAAAAAAGAATTGTCCCAAATGGAAATTCAATTAAATGAAACAACAAGAACAAAACACGAATTAGAATATATATATATATGTGTGTGTGTATATATGTAAAGAACAAAGATTTTAAGCTTTACCCCTCTTAATTTATAGAATTGATCAAATATATCACGTATATTAAAAGTTGTATAAATGTAAAATTTTACTTCAAGTAAAAGTTCTAGTTATACCTAGTGGTAGAAAAAAAAAAAAAAAAAAAGCATAATCGGAGCCTGTCAAAGATTGAAAAAAAAATGACCTAATTAATAATAGTTTATAATATAATTAAGTTGACTACTACTTCTCTTATTACCAATTGGTTTTGAAACAGAACTCCATGAATATTAATATAGTATCAGAATCCAAAAACTCAAACGAACATCCGGTCCAAAAATGAAATCCAAAATAGACACCATCTTATAAGTCTGCTACTATTTTTATTGTCAATTAATTTTGAGATAAAACCTACGAATATTTATAACACCCTTGATCGGAAAGTTTTGATAAGTGAAAGAAGGAAAAAGAATAGGCAGCAAAACCATGAATATATTTTGGCCTTAATATGATGCATGTCTGAATTTCTAATATACATTTTGAAGAAAAATGACGTTACACATGCACTTAGCTACAAGTGGGGATCAAATAAGTACCTCAGTATCTCACTTAGAATTTGATCTCTGAATTCATATAGTCAGATCCAGAGTACTTACTCTCTCTCTCTCCTCTTCCATCCTTCAAGGAGATATTGAATAATATGAGCACAAACTTAGACACAAATCAGTTCTACTTTCTGCAACTTTTTCTTCTTCTTCTATCCTCATTCTCTTGTGATCTATCTTCTCTTCTCTTGCTGCAATCTTCAGCGATAAACTCAAGTCAATTTCTCCATCTGGGGCTTTCAAATCTCGCGTCGTTTTTCTCGTCAMCGTCGTGTTCKGTTCGCTGAACGAGCCTGCATTGCTGCCACCAAATAGGCTCGATCTCRCTTGAGGGACTGCCGAGGCCTTGTTCTCGTAAGCGCTCCAGGAAGACCCGCCAAATCTGTTACGTTAAGAATATGAATAAATGATTGAATATATAGTGTATATGAAAATACATTAAATTTATGCTAGGAAGTGAAACTTCTCGATTTGGATTTTCTTACCGGAAAATATTGGAGGGGTAGGTTTGGTTATAGCGTTGGAACATAGGGATTTGGCTGACAGTAAATATGTTGCGATCGCCAGTTTCTGCCATCACAAGCCTTTGATCCGCCACTACATTTTGCATTAAAAGTCAATAAATTAAAAGAAATATCGTCCTTTAATTGATTATTTTTTTGGGGGATATTTTCAGAACTGAAATAGAAATGGGGAAATTAATTAAATTAATGAAATATGTTGATTAAAATTAGTTGATACCTTGGCCATGTTCGTTGATCTTCTTGCTTCTGTACATCTGAAGAAATTGATTTCGTGAAGAAGAAAATAGTTAAATAATAGAAAAATTACATAATATTATCTATGTAAATTTTTCTTCAAGTGAGAGTTTAACCTGAAGGTGGCTCTTTACATGGGCGATGTTCAGTCCTTTGATGTTCATTAACTGAAGAACCAACTTAGGGGTAGCATCTGCAATTAATTACCAAAATCATCAGCATAACATATCAAATTAAGATCATAAATTGTAGAAAAAGAGAGAAATTGTGATTCATCTCCACATTACATTATTACCCCTTCAATAAATCACAAGGACATTACCTGATATGATATTCATGTTAAATTAGGACTCAATTCAAAAATTTAAGTTAACGGGTATTTGTAATTTAATGCGGGTATTTGTAATTTAATCATTTATTCATATTGACAGCCAGCCGGAGAGGGTAAAGGATGAAATTGAGAAAGAGAATTACTTTCTTGACCGCCTAGTCTTTCGACAGCATGAACGAAACGGTGATGGAGATCAGGCGTCCACCGGAGTCGGGGGAGTTTGGATCTAACGTACGGCCGCACGCTCGGCTTATTCTTCTGATTATGATCGTGAGTATTATTCTCTTCAATGGTGCTGTTGCTGGAGCTCCCTTCGTTTCCTAATTCCCTCTGATTATTACAATTCTTCTCATCATCTTCACTCCTACTTCTGTTTGAACATTCTACTGCTGCACCATCGCTCCCCGCTTCCATAACGATTCTTATAAACCGTTTCCGAAGAATCGTAACACAGGATCTGATATATGTATTATTCTCACGTACCTTTCTTAATAAAATGGTTTCTCTTTAAAAAAAAAAAAAGGAACACGGAGAGATCTGATAATTCCTCGAAACCAGAGGAGACGAAGAGAGAGAAGAAAAAGGTTTGGCTGCGGATTTGATTGATCTCTTGGAGTTTCTGGAGAGAGAGAGAGAGGAGAGAGAGAAACCCTAGGGAGACAGATGGTGATGGAGAAGACAGAAGACTGGTGTCTGTGTGAGGATATGTTGGGAAAGTTCAAATGAAGCTTCATTTACATGTCAATTGTCATGTCTCTGAGTTGCTAAAATTAGGGCATCATAATCATGTGCATATCATGCCCATACATACATATTATATGTCCATGGGCTGCCTCATGCATGTGAATCCACCCATATTCTATACTTTCTAAGTTGAAATTAATTAAAATCATATCATAGCATATAATAAAAAAAAATATATTTTTTGTTTCAATTGTGTGTTAGAATAATTCCAAAAGCATCTCTGTTTTAATAGAACTTGATTAAGAAATATCATAATCAATAAAACAACCCACAATGTAGATTTGTCCTTTTGGTATGAATCCAAAGATTAAAAAGATAAATCTGGAAGAAAGTCTCCTCCCCTTTTGTAATTATGATATATCTACAATTTCGTTAAATTGGAATGCTTTCATTTAGCCTACTTTTTTAATGGAATGGGTATCCTTTTCCAAAAACAAAGTTTTCCAAAACTGGGTATAGGGTAAAAATTGTAAAATATTCCCAAAAACTGTATTTTATAGCGTAATATATCTATTAGAGAAATTTTTTGTTATTTGAATTAACCTCACTAACCCAAGTAATTGAAGGACAAAAGAAGTTCCAATATTTTGTAATTGTGAATTTCAACAAAGTTTCTTTCAACAAAGTTTCTTTTAAGGTATATATATTGTTTTGCACTTAACAAAATGGTAGAGATCAGAGAGAAAGGCCCTAAAGATTAGTGTATGCATTTTATATGACTACAAATAATGTGAGAATTTGGGACAAAACTACAAATAATTTTTTACATTACTTTGGAAAATGTGAGAATTTGGGACAAAGCTACAAATAATTTTTTATACAAAGTTAATTAATGAAACACATAATAAATAATGAGAAGAATTTTGGCAATCAGGGAAGATGTTGTTCATATTGCATTTTTGTATATATTTCTATCGACTCTATTCACATTATAAACTAAGTTTGCAAGCATTTTYTCCAAGAAAAATAATATATACGTGGCTAAGTATGAGYTGTGTAACTACATTCTAGATTCTATAACTGGRACTCAGTTTTTGGTAGAACAACTACTATAAACTAACATATGACTCGAACTTGAAAAGTGTGGCTTACACGGTAGACGTGGGAGATCACCCCATACGTCTTACCATCCCGAAATCTGTAGGGGATAACATAGTTCAGTAGTACTTAAAACATTTATTTTATTTTTTTTATTTAAAGTTGGGAGGATTTTGTACTAAAAAAAATTAGGATCGATGATTTTGATTATAATTATATTTCTTAAAATAATGTAATCTTAATTATATATATATATATATATATATATATATATATATATATATAAATAATGTGTGGATAGGAGGAGAGGAAACCATGAGGAAGGAAAGGGTGTGGTAGATAGATGTCATTCAAGGTCATGAGACAAGAATCACGACCTACATCTCTCTATCTCGTAGAGAGAAATTGGAGAGAATTTGATGAAAAAGAAAAAAAAAATTAAAATACATATATACATGGCTAAATTTGTAATTCCACAAATAGGGGTGACGATTATTCTTTCTAGATAAAATAGCAACTAGGTAATTTTATTTTAATAAAATAGTGCACTATAGGATGAGTCCTTTCGGTTCAAATCTTTGGTACGAGTTTTCTACTCTCTCCATTCTTTTAAAGGCCTAATTCAAACTCTAATCCTATGCTTAACACAATAAACCTGATTCAAACTTAATTATGGAAATGTGTGGTTGACACTATATATACTGTATAATCTCTCTCTCTTTTCAGGTTTGGTCGAATTTCTTTGTTCAAAAAGAGTGGTGCTAAATTTACGCAACCAACAGAGATATGTGTCAAGTTTGAGTTTTTTTCTTTTCGTTTTTCTTATCTGGAGCAAAAGTTAAAGTAAGGCGTGGGTCGTAAGTTGGGAATGGTGGGTACAGAAAAAGGTAAGACTTTTGGGAAAGTTTTGACAAAAGAATGGGAAAGAAGAGTTAGGGTTTGGTGTTTTCATTCCTTCCACGTGCATTGCTAATTCATGGTTTTGATTTTGCCTTTTTTGCAGAGTGTAGAATAGGTAGGAAAAAGGTCGTCTTTTTGGCTTTAATTCACGGAAGTCTCGAGCCTTTGCAACCCTATTTTTATATATATATGGAGATTGTAGTTGAGTAATTAATTTGCTTTCTGTGCATGCACATGCAGCTTGGATATTTGTTAACTTATACCTTCTTTGTTTTCTCTTTTTTAATAATCAATGTTTCATCTAGTTTTCATATTTTTCTCATGTATTTTGTATATACATATATACATATATATATATATATATATATATATATATATACATGTATATTGTTTTCATTTTGTTTTTGATCTTATAATGTGTGTTTATATTTGAGTCTTTAGTCGAATTTTGTAGAAATATAACATATTGGATTTAAAGAAATAATAGAGACTATAAAAGAAAGAAATTTGAGAGTGCCATATAAGTTTATTAAAAAAGTTTCACTTGTATGTTTGAATTTTAAATTTCATAAGCATCTTTATTTCAGGATAGAAACGTAGAATCGAATTAAATTAGGAAAGTGGTTTTCATTTTAGATGAAAAAAAATGCAATTATAGATTTCGTTTTTCTTTTTCTTTTCTCTAAGCACCGGATAGAATTGGCAATGCATATAACTAGAACTTTTAAAAATTTATCCACTAAATTTATAATTTAATCTAAGGTTTATTAAATATATTTGAGTATTTTCAAAAGACATGTTTTTGTTTTGATACATAACTAAGACTTCAAAACTATTCTTAAGAAATTAATTTTTTTTTTAAGAAATAGAAAGTGCCAATGAACATGATACACCCGGATTTGAAATCTTTACATCAATATGGTGTGGTTTAGAGTGTGGTTTGTTGGTGGGCATGTAATACCTAGGATTGAAGAGAATGTGTGGAGAACAACGGCATGTACATGGTTAAAGGAAAGTTTTAACGATTTAATAAATATTACCTATATTTACACATTCATTCTTTTGTTGATTAAAAATTTTATTATATTGTACTGCTCATTTGACTTGAAATAAATCTATAGCGTACAACTTAYTGACTATAAATTTTCTTAAGCATCGGAGAGATAGACAAAGCATGTCAAAAGAATTTAAATTTGTTATTTCAAATCACTCACGACTAATAATATCTCATCTATTAGAGTGGTTTCAYCCAATAACGTTAGTCAAATACCCTCTCTACTAAATATCAATCTTAGAACATGAGCCAAATTAATCCCATTTTCTCGTAGATCTCTCTAAAAGATTCCATAAATATATAAAATATATAATATACTTAAAAAWTTTTAATTATCTCTCTTAAATTACTTCAAAAAAGAGAGAAAAAAAATACAAGAGCATGCATTCTGAGTCCCCACTCCCCACATGTGGAAGTGGAAGATCAAAATCCCATGGAAAAAGAAAAAAAGAAAAAAACCAGTGGGAGAAAGTTTAGTCAGAAAAGATTCACTCACACACTCACTCCCGAGGCCTTATCCTGTTAGGTCAACGCTGTACAGTGGCTTTGTCTGGTTTATTTTTCTTTAAACAAATATTAATAAATAATTAAAAATTAAAAAAATTTGCATGAGAATGCGAAAGAGCCTATTTATGCGGATCTAACCCATAATTTGAGAATGAGTATGTCTGTCCTTTTTCGTCTTTAACTATATAATATTATTCCTCTCCATATATTATATGTATAYATATGCATCATGCATGTGGCTTCATCCTCACATGCATATCATATACATCATGCTCTATATATATATTATTGGTAGGTGGGTGGTATTTCTATCACTATTATTTTATTACCAATTATATGATGCCGTATCTCTTTTTTCTTCATTATATATTTATATATGTATGTGTGACAGATAAATAAACAAATCATAATCATATTCCTAAAACTCCTACTTCCAAATGTGTCTGATCTAGTTTTCTGTTCTTTAATTATATATATAAAGCTTGCTTTTTAAAAAAATTGTTTTTAGAATAAATTTGAAAATGAACACGGTTCTAGATTAGTAAGCTTGGATATTAATTTCCATGGGAGAATTTTCATATCTCTTTATATATATATATATATAATATTCATTATAAATCCTAATTATTTTTCTTTGAAAAATATACCCTCGTTGTGAGATCATTTTTTTAATAGAATCTGATCCTATCAAGACTATTGGAGATGATTTCCGAGATGAGAAGAGAAATTTGTAAATTACTTTTGTTTTTATATTTAATTAACGTAAATTAGGAAGTAAAGAAGATATGTGATGGAGCTGAACAAGATATTTAATTTTAAAATTTTCMATTAACATGTCTATCTATTTTTGTATTATTTTGATCAATGTGGGGCAAGTATTATGCCAAATTTCTCCATAAAAATTATATTAAATATTTATTTTGACCAATGTGGGGGCTTCGTTTTGCAAAAATTTCTCTATAAAAATAATAATTTATATTGGAGTCGTCCCAATCAATACGTATGCATGGGGTTGGAGGAAAATATAAAACGACAACACAAAAATATATTATCTTAATTCTCAGTCAAAGGTTACTAGTTATCTTATATTCTCGCACATTCCATTGGTTTCGCCAAATTCCTATTTAGGTTTCACGCATTTGGTAAAATTTCTATTGACTCATCCATATTTTTATAGATGGAAGGATTTCACGCCAATATGAGAGACGGTTAATATTGTYATGGGGTAAAGTAGGATAAATTTTCTTATTTTAGATGTCATATGCAATCCACTTATCTAGATTGGGAGGTTAGTGATTTTTTTTCTTTTCTTTTTTCTTTTTTGAGATAGTGACTCAACTAGAGTTGTGCGAATGGCGGAACATCTYGAACTAAAAAGACTTTGTTTCGGAAAATTATTCATCTAAAATGATGACTACACGTTAGGTGTACGTTGCGATACTGATCTATTA